GGAATTCTGTTGTAGATTGTGTGTTGGTTATTTAAACACCAAAGCATGTTTACTGTGCATAATGTGTGTAATATGCAAATACAGTACAGTAGTCCCTCGTTTATCGCGGATGTTAGAGACCACGCCCTCCCGTGATAAGTAGAAAAAAATGCTAAGAATAGAAGTTCAAGGTCAAGTAAACTTTGTCATTACCATCTCATAGTACATGAGATGGAATGAAATTATGTATACAAATAGTAATAAGTAGTAGTTTATTTTAGTATTTACTGTAGTAGTAGTAAGTAGTAGTTTATTTTAGTATTTATATACAGTATATATGAAGGCTTTAGAAAACCCCTCACTCTTACAATGTTCTAAACTCTTAAACCTGTTTCATTTTAACAACATACGTTACTAAATTTTACTTACAAGGGCTCTGCAGAACATCAGCAGCTCGGTTCCATCTGACCCGGTAGATTAAAAAAGTCCCGGTGCAGCATAATGAAGCCCACGACTCCATCCAGTTTGATGTGCACGTGCTGCCGCTCCAGGAAGGACACTCCGCGTGCAAGACTTTCCAGAATTTAGTCCACCACCTCTCGCATGGTCTGGTCCAGCAACGTGTGACCAGAACCAAGCTGAACCCCGCAGCTGTCTGTGGTCTGCAGCTCCCAGAATCTGTGTCACACCGAGTCCAGATCAACTGCAGCCCAGCTACTCATCAGTGACGATACAACTTGAAGGATGAGTTCAGCTTCAGAATTCTTTGCGACTTACCTGCCTGTTCTGTGAGTTTATCCTTACAGAACTTCTGAGATTGTTTTGCATAACTTTCCCTCCATTTGCAGAAAGCTGCGGTTGTAAGCAGTATTGACTTCTGGGAAGTCAACTGATGGCTTCTGGGTAACATAGTTCTTTTGATTGGCAAAACAGTATAAGCTCATTGAGAGAAAACTACAAAATTGTGGCGCTTTTGTGTGTGTGTGTGTGTACAATCTTACAGTACTGTATTTTGAAAAACTGAAAGAGCGAGTCCGCAAAGTCAAACCATGAAGTAGCCAGGGACTACTGTAGTTGTATTCTAAATACTAGTATCATTAAAAAAAATAGAGATACAGAGAAGCATGAAGCGTTTACTCCACTGAAATTTTGCGAAGGCTTTGATTATAGAGGGACTTAAATACTATATGACATCATACTGATATAAAATTCAACTTTAATGAGGAAGCACGTCTGAATTAATACTTGTGTTATGGCCACAGTATTCAGCACAAAAAAATATATATAGTTGGGATTCTGTTGTAGATTGTGTGTTGGCTATTTACTGGTAAACACCAAAGCACGCCAGTGCATTTACTACTGTTTTACTACTGTTGGCTGTTTTGTTCTCACAAGAAAAGCATTTTCTTTGACCCATCACTTCAAGGTTACTACTCACTTGAAAGTCTTGTCTACAGTACTTGTGGTTTTACCTTTATGTCCATCTACACAACTCTGTATTAATACATTTAAGCATTTTTTATTTGTTTATTAAAAATATACTTTCAAATATTAAAAAAATATTTACATTGATGTTTTTGTCATTAACCATGTCAGTGCACAGTTTACTGGTGTCATGTTTCATATAAAGCAGGACCGGAGGAGAAACTGGTTAAAATAAAAAATAAACTAAAAACAACACCATTGTTGTTTTGGTTTCTAGGGCACAAAGTAATGCTTAGGTACAGATGCACGTAACAGTTTCTCCACTTTAGAAAGTGTTCAAAAGTAATGTTTTCTAACCAAAAACCGTTTGCATGTGGACTACAGGTGCAGTCTAAAACATGTTTGTCTCTGTGATTATTAGAATCCATTGAGGGTTTGTTGTGACAAATTAAATAATAAAAAAAAAATTTAAAAGCACACTAAACACCTGGTTGCTACTTCAGCTTTTTTATAGGCTGTGGCTAAAATACAAAATATTGTGTTTATTGGGGTTTTTTTTGTTTGTTTTTCTCTTGAAATTTGAGCATCGGAGGAAGCAAAATTTTTATTTTTCACACTTGAATTTATTCTGGATTATCATCACCTTCACTGAAATAACTGGAGTCGAGAGGCATCAGCAAATGGGAAAAGCACAAGTTTCCTGATGAAGATGTTTATTTTATCTGCAAACAGCCAGAAACTGCAGGAATCCATATGGTAAGTATGAATGAAAATGGTGTTTTTGCAGTTTTTAAATGAACAGAACACATAAATTGTAAAGCACAAATACATTTACAGATTCTGTCATTTTAATTAATAACTGTACATAATCCTGTATATGCAAAGAAAGTGCGTCTACTGTATAATAAAGCATCTCCGTCCTTTGGTGTTGACTATATTTTGTTTATTATAGGATCATTGCTCATAAGTTAAAAACCAGTAACACTTTCATATAGATGCTGTGTTATGGCAGTTTTTAATCAAACAAAACATCTAAAATGATAATATTTCCTTGGGCTGTGATTGTTGGTGAAAGGCATTTGCAAGGAAAGTGCAAAACTATAGCGGGCTGTTGTAATTTCACACAGGGCTCACAGTTGTGTATAAAAGTTGTAATGGGTGTCTCAAAACTGTCTCAAATCCTTCTCAATTTGGATTCTTTAACATCTGCAGTGCTGCAGCTGTATTTTTACACCAATACAGGAGCTTTCTTATGACCGTAAACATTTAAGGTTACAGCCTTGAATCTATAGGTCGTAACACCACGTCAAAAGATTTTTAATTAAAACAAAAACTTGTTCAGATCTACCTAACTTCACTTCAAAAGCCCATCCCAGTAGATTAAAATGTAAATATGGGGATGGCTATCGAGATGGGCTGATGGAGGTGTTGCGCTTATAGTTTGGCAACAAAACCGTGTGGATGGCGTAGAATAGTTATGTAAGCCATACACAAAAATAGGCTGGTTTTTAAAAATGGGCTGCACATATAAGGCAGAATGATCCCAAACACTCAGAGCTCTGAGGGACTGCAACTAAAACAGTCTGAATTTTATAGCCCAGCTTCCTGTAATTTTGCATCAACAAATTTTCCACCAGTCACAGCTCAGTGTGATGCTACTCTACTAGATGCAGTTGTAAACACTTGTGTTGGCTGCAGTACATAGTTAAAGCCGCTACATCATCACAATTTATTTTTATTTTTTTCGGCTCTTACATTCAAAACTTCAAGGAACAAGTAAGTCCACATTTTTAGAAATGTTTGTGGCACATATTGTCCCCTTGTTTGGTTTTATCCAAAATAATGTCTCTTAAATTCAGCCGGCACGTCGCTGTCTAGTTTGCAGATCACCTTGTAGATCGCTTTCTTCCAGGATGGATCATGATCTTTGCCCACAGAAATTGCGATGTAAAACTCTCTCAGTGTAATCTCAGCCACTTCCAGGAATCTCTCAGGGACCTAAGAATCCATGTGAGAAGATGGGGTTGAAGAATTTGACTTTAAACATGCATACTGTTCACTCTGTTTACATGTTTAGCAGATAGATGGTTCGGTTGATTGCCACCACATTTTAGATTATTACTTTCAGATCCTGTAAATCAGGTAAGTAACAAAACAAGACATTACAACAAAAGACTGCTGGTAAAAAATAAATAAATGGGGAACCACTTTGAATTATAAAGAATAAATTATGGGTACCAAACGTTTCAGTTTCTGACTTGATATATGGGAACAAAGACTGCAACAACCACTGCTTTATAAAGTTATTTTGAAGTTTATGTGATGACCCAACTTTTGGTGTCTCCCAACAGACAAACTTCCTGTTCCAGCTTTGGCAATCCTGACTACCATATGTCACCCCAATAAGTTTTGAGGTTTAGCCAATAAAGTACATGTATGTCTATTTCTAAACCAAATCAATAAAGAGAGGATTTAAATGTGTGAATCATGAAGTATTTAGATTCAGAATAACTTAAAATCAGAGTAATTCTAGTAGTATTGAAAGTAAATACATTGTATACTCTGTAAATTCAATTAAAAAATACAGCTGTTTGGAAAAAGCGCACAAAATTTTGTTTTTTAAATGACTGATGTGGCAAATTTCTAATATCAGATTAAGGCACTGGATGATGACACAAGTACTAATTGAGATCACAACCTTTCCAGACTTTAACTGATGAACTATATAGAACCTGTGACACAATTGCTTTAGTTTTAAAAGTTTTTTCTCCCTTAAACTCAGATGTGTGCCTAAAAATCCCACTTGATGAACAGCTTCAGTTCCATTAAGTTTTGATACATCAGCGTATACTCTAAATTTACAAGGACAGGGCTTTTGTGTGTAGACTTTGCAAGTTTTATGTTATTGGATGATTATTACTCATTATTATTATTACTTAGGGGAGTGGTGGCGCAGAGGTTAGAGAGGTGGGCTTGTGAGCCAAAGATCGCCGGTTCACGCCCCGGCCCCGACAACATCAAAATTGTGGGTGGGGTAGGTGAAACACCCACACTTGCCCCCACCCTCATTCGCCCCACTCTGGGCCCATGAGCAAGGCCCTTAACCCCACCATGTGCTCCCTAAAACAGGTCTCTCTTGAAAATGAGTTCTCGTGGCTCAATGAGACTAACCTGGATAAATAAAGGCTAAATGAAAAAAAAAATTACTCTTGGCAAACAAAAAATATCCATAACATAATTTTTACAGATATTAAGCCTAAAATTTGATGTGGCAGTAGCTGAGTCACAATCAATGCATGATGAGCATTAACAGATTATGTCCTGATGCATGCTCAATAATCCAGGTAGATACATCTAACAAGGTTGCGTGTAGAGGACCTGACTCAACCTTGTTAGATTAACTGATTACGTGGCATTTTTATTTAAAGCTTTACAATGCGAGGTGGTGGGCGATGTGCATTCCTTCAAAGAATTCTACTTTTAAAGTCCATAATTATTTCAAGACTACAGTCTTTATCAGACTGTTTAAATAAGTTATTCAGATGCTTGAATTATTAAAATTTGTGTGTCTGTGAGCTGTCAATATCTTACATGCAGCAGTAGGGGTTTTTTTTAAATGGAGAATCAGGTTGTTTTTTTTTTTTTTTTTTTTAGAAGTCAAACTTGACAGCTGCCCAGAGCATGACCCTTTCAATGGGAATTTATACTATTTAAAAGTACTCAAAGCTTTTCTGACAGCTTGAACAAATTCTATATTTGGTCTTTTTACATCTCATGTTTGTCTATTTTTATTTAATGTTTTCTCAACTAAATTGTTCATTAACTGTGGGTACCATAAATATTGTCTGGTTATTAGTCTTGTAGAACTGCCAGTCACTTCTAAGCTGCTGCAGCAGACAGATGTCTCACACAAACTTTACAATGTGTTTTTAACAAGTATTATCTAAAAGACCATTTTGAGTTGTTTTACATGACAGAAACTCTTTCTCTGGGGATCCATCCTGGAGCTAGGCCAAGGGGAGGGACTCATTGGCAAGCACCTGGTAACCGGGTCTCTACCCATGGGGACCGGTTGGACTGAGCCCTAACAAGCATCCTGGGTCATGTGGGCCCACCCTGAAGGAAGGGCCATACAAGTCGGGTGCAAGACGCCATGGGCAGTGGCTGAAGGTGGGGGGCCTTGGCACTCTGACCCTGACTTAGCAAAGCTGACTCTTGGGGCATGGAACTAGAGTTGCATCCGGGCCTAAAAAAATCTGTCCCTGACTGAACCTGTATAATTTTTTCTGAGCCTGACCTGAAACTGACCAATTAACTGCGCTTACAGACCCGAACCCAACCCCCCCCCCCCCCCACACACACACACACATTTTTGTATTAAGCTTTTACTTCTTTTGTAAGCAAATCAGTTTGACATGATTTGAAAACGTATTTCAAAGATACGAATTTATAAGATTTCTTATTTATTAAGAGTCACCAGATTAATATAGTTTTATAATATTATTTTTATTAATGGTCATCAGCCGCGTGTATCCGCTGATGCAGCGGCTGAGTCCAGTTAAGCCGCAGGTGGGTCATTGGCAGGCATCCATCCGGACATTTTTATTTTTTTGTACTTCTTTCAACCGCACGTCCCCTGAAGTGGCGGCTGGTAAGCTTCAGGTGGGTCACTGGCAGTCATCTGGACTTTTTTTTGGTACCTCTTTTAACTGGCCGGCCAGTGCGCAGTCAATTTAATTTATTTTTTATGATTCTCGTTAGGGCTGATACTCTTGCCCAGTCAAAGGGCTGCAAGCAACTGGTGGTGATCCAAATTGGATCATCAGCCGCACGTGTCTGCTGACGCAATCAAAAGCCTGACATCGACCCAGCCCGCCCATCCAGCACATTATTTTGGCCCGGCCCGGCCTGAAATTTGGGCAGGGCCCGGGTTAGAAATGACAGCTTTACATGGAACATAATCTCTCTGGCGAGGAAGGAGCCTTAACTTGTGCATGAGGTTGAAAGGTACTGACTAGATATAGTTGGGCTCCGAAACCAATATCCTTGAGGGGAGCTGGACCTTATTCCACTCTGGAGTTGTTTATAGTGAGAGATGTCGAGGTGGTGTGGGTCTACTTTTAGCTCCCCGATTTGGTGCCTTTGTGTTGGAGATTTCCCTGGTAGATGAGAGGGTAATTTCCCTGCGCCTTCAGGTGGGGGTGTGGGGGGGATCGAGCTCTGAAAGTTGTTTGTACCTACATGCCAAACAGCAGTTCAGAGTATCGGGCATTTTTGGAGTCCTTAGCGTGGGTGCTGGAAGGTGCTCCAGTTGGGGATTCCTTTATTCTGCTGGGTAACTTCAATGTGCACATGGTTAATGACGGTGTGACCTGGAGGGGTGTGGTTGGGAGAAACGGCTTCTCTGATCTGAACTTGAGTTGTATTCTGTTGTTGGATTTCTGTGCTAGTAATAGTAATAACAGGTTCGAACATAAGGGTGTCCATACGTGCACTAGGCACCAGGACATTCTAGCCCGTAAATTGATGATTGACTTTGTAGTCGTGTCATCTGATTTGCAGCCCTTTGTTTTGGACTCTGGTGAAGAGAGGAGCTGAGCTGTCAACTGATCTGGTAGTGAGTTGGATCAGACGATGGGGTAAGATGCTGGACAGATCCAGTAAACTTGATGTGTAGTGAGGGTTTGATGGGAATTCCTGGCAGAAGAACCTGTCAAAGATTTTCAACTTGCACCTCCAGGAAACCTTTAACCGCATCCCAAGTAAGGCGGGGCCCATTGAGTCCGAGTGGGCCATGTTATATGCCTCAATTACAGGGTGGCTGCCTGAAGCTGTGGCCGGAAGGTTGTTGGTGCTTCTTGTGGTGGCCATCCTCTAACTCGGTGGTGGGCACCTCGGGTTAGGTAGACTGCTAAGCTGAAGAAGGAATCCTATTGAGCCTTGTTGGTTGGTGAGACTCCAGAGGCAGCTGAGGTGTACCAGAGTGCCAAGCAGGCCTCAGCCTTGGCTGTTGCTGAGGCAAAAGCTTAGCTGTGGGAGAAGTTTGGTGAGGCCTTGGCTAGAGACTCAGTCGGCTCCAAGGAAATTCTGGCAAACTATCAAGCGGCTGAGGAGGGGAAAGCAGCGCTTTATTAACACTGTGTTCAATGAAGGTGGGGTGCTGTTGGCCTCAACCAATAATGTCATCAGGAGGTGGAAGGGATACTTCTCAGATCTTCTCAATTCCACTGGGACGTACGTCTTCCTTGGAGAAAGCAGAGTTGGGGAACTTCGAGGTTGCTTTGTCCATAACCATGGGACAGTTCGCCAAGTTAGTTTAAAAGCTCTGTGGATGAAGGGCTCCACAGCTGGACAAGATACATCCTGATTTCCTTAAGGCTCTAGATGTTGTGGGGCTATCTTGGTTGACATGCCTTTGCAACTTTGTGTAGACATTGGGGGCAATGCCACTGGACTGGCAGACTGGGGTGGTGGTTCCCCTGTTTGTAAAGCTTGACTGGAGGGTGTGCTCTAATTTTAAGATAAGATAGAACTTTATTGATCTCGCAGGAAATTATTGTGCCAGAGTTTCACTACAAAGGAACATACACAAGGAATCACACGAGATATTTAAAAAAAAATCACAGAGAATATAAAAAAATACTAGCATTTAAGTTTTAAAACAGGTCAGGTGCAGACAGAAACATTAAAGCGTGTAGAGGGTGAACAGAAACGGTGAGAGGTCTGTCCCCTGAGGATTATTGGGGTATCACTCTCCTTAGCTTCCCTGGTAAGGTCTATTCAGGGGTACCAGAGAAGCTAATCCAATCATTGGTCAAACCTTAGTTGTAGGAGGAACAATGTGTTCCGTCCTGACCATGGAACACTGGGCCATCCCTTAACCCCTCACTAGGGTCCTCAAGGGGTCATGGCACTTTGTTTTCATGGGACTTCCATTTTTCATGTGTTTTGTAGAACTGGAGAAGGCTTTCAACTGCGTTCCTCAGGGTACGCTGCAG